TAACCGCGGAACCACAAGGCTATATAAAATACATGTTTTCATAATGCACATTTTGAGACAATTCATTACACAGCTACACAACAAAAAGAGATGAAGCTCAAGTAGTCCAAACTATAAAGAAAGCAAAGCAGCACATTTGGTTTTATTTATCAGAGTGATCGACAAGTCTTCTACAGCTGCCATCTAAAGCAGTTAAGTAAGCAACTTCTGAGACACAACCTCTAGATATTCTATGTGGTTTGTTCATCTGCTGCACATATTTAAAGACCTGGTCTCCACCCTTAAAGCATCGAGTCCAGCAAGATACGAACCATGTATGTTAACAAAACATGATGCAGCATATAATACATAGTAGTCACCATAAAGGCAGCATGAAAAAGTTTAACTAGTCAGAGTATCTCTGTTAATTCTTAAAGCCAATGTCCAAGCCATTGTCACTACTCAGAAATAAGTCACCCAAAGTGGAAGAGGCTTCCTTAGAGACTTCAGCAGTGAACACTAAGTAATGTAAGCAGATGACTCTGCACTGCTAGGATAACTCTAAATAAGCCACGAGACTCTGAGCTGTAAAGTATCTTCAAGCTGAAGAGTTAAATTCTTGATCATCCCTAGAGAAAACCCTAACAAGGAAAAGCTCACTATTACCAACAGTTAATTCAAGTATTCTCAGCAGAAATTCCATCGTAACGTCATCACTTACACAGAACTTCCTGAAAAGTCTATTTAGGCAGACTCCATGACTGGCTTTTTCCAGAACGGTGAGTCATTTAGGAACATCTGAGCTAACTGGTTGAGCTGCTTATGTGATAGGGGAGGATAAAAAGGTACACTTTCTGTCCCATTTTCCAGTTAATGATCTAGTCAGAAATAAATTTTCAAGAAAAACTGTAAAACTTCAGAATGTAATCAATTTAAAGCTTAATAGAACTAGAAGTCTTTGTGCTGCCACCTAATACAGACTCCTCATTCATTACTAGTTCTTATATTTCTTACAGATGAAGTATATGTCTCCGTTTTATGTTAAGAGAAAAAGCAGAATGACACCAAATGCAGAGTTGATTCTCATGACCATTATAGCACAAAATAGGTTTTCCAAGACTGTAACCCTATGTTGTTATGTGCTGCTGAGTCACCTGCAACCCACAGCGACCCTGTATACAGGTCTGAACCCTGGCCTGTCCTGAGCTAGTCTCACTAATTCTGACACACCAACCCTCACTGCCCGTTACTGTATCAATCATCTCATCCGGGATCTTCCTCTCTTGGGTTCTCTCTCCATCCTTCCGAGCATGATGTCCTTCTCCAAGGACTGGTCTCTTGTGGCCACATGCCCAAAGTATGTGAGACCGAGCTTCAAAATCTTTGTCTCCAAGGGAAAACTTGGTTTAACCCTCTCCAAGACAGATTGTTTTCTTCGTGGTTCATGGTCTTCAGCATCACTATTTGAAGGTATAGATTCTTCCTCTGTTATCCTTAGTCATTGTCCAGTATTCTAACGCATAGCCAAGTAATTACAAAGGCCTGGATTAGGCACACCGTAGTCTCTAGACTGACACTGTAACTCTCTTCAGAGCCCAACTCTTCGGCCAGCATAGTGGCTGATGGGTTTAACCTACCCTACCCTACAAGTCAGCAGCTATGCACTTTATTCACAAGAGCTTTCCAACACATTAACACCAAATTCCTTGTCTTTGAGTTGGTCTGAATCACAGAAACTCTTGAGTTTCTATGCCTGCAAATCTTTATTTAGATTACCCATCAGACCTCCCTCAGAGTGGCTGTTGGATAGAAATCACCTACTTTACACTCAACTTCATATACCAAGTCCAGACCTGGTTGTCAATTAAAATTCAGACTGATCTCACACAGTTCCTTGGTAAGGACTCAAAAGACTTAAATGTATAAATTTGTGTCATTTTTCCAAAGTAACCATGGTCTCCTCTATTACTTCTTTTCCTCAGGAAAAAGGCCCATTCCCTCTTTTGGGATGCCTAGTTCCTAACAATATTGGTTTATTATTATTTTTTGTGTATATACCGTCAAATCAGATCTGACTGGTACTGGAGGAGATTGCCCCTCATTCTCTAGCAGAGCATCTGGTGGATTCGAACCGTGTACCTCCAGAAATGCAGTACAGCTTCTTGCCAGTAGGCCACCAGAGTTTCCTGTTCCTAACAATTTTTTAAAAATTTATCTAATCCCCTCAAAAAACCCACACCATGAAACTAAGCAAATACATTCTGTCAACACAAACTCTTTGTTTTCTTTCAAGGGAGGGTGCTAAAAGAAGTTTTTGTCTGTCGTATTATGTATTTCTGAAATATCTAATATTAAGATATGTGCATGTATGAGACTGTATTTATAGAGGAACAAATGCTTCCATATGCAGGTATCTTTATGTTTGAAAGACATGTGCTGCCCTCTTCTGACAAACAATGGAAACAGATTTCCTAAGTCCAATGGCTTTCAAGATTAAAAATGGAAATGTGTGACACACAATTAATATTGAGAAACAAGTCTACAAAATTTGCTTTGATTATGAAATTTAATGACTTCTCATAGAAACAATTATCAGTTTTTCGTATTAGGTAAGGCCACTGGTAAAGTTATACATTTCCTTAGATAACCTATCTCACTGCCGTCGACTCATAGTGGGTTCTCCAGCGGGTTTCCGAAGCTGCAAATTGCACAGGAAGTGACTGTTCATCTTTCTCCCTCGGAGCTGCTGGTGGATTCAAAACGCCAGACCACACTGTCACCTGAGCTCACTCAGGTTGTCAGAAGGGGTCAGTGCTTGGGAAAAGACATCATGCCGGGAAACGGGGAGGGCTAGTAAGAAAGAGGAAGACCCTCAATGAAACAGAATGACAGTGACTGCAACAATGGGCTTGAGTATGGCGGAGATCATGACGATGGCACAGGATAGGGCAAGGTTCCCATCTGTTGTTCACAGGGTCACTATAAGGCGTAGTCAACTTGACAGCACCTAGTAACAACAACAGATACCCTAAATGACATGTGGGAAAAAAATCAAACCAAGAAAGACTTTTTATCATTACCAAACCTATCTTCCTACTTTATGAAACTTGGACCCTACTTGAAGGTTTACCACTAGTGTTCTACTGCCCCCTATTGGAAAACTCAATACTGTGCAACCCGACTTTGCAATAGAGAATGCTGCAGACACTTGGGATCAAATTTATCAACAGTGAGGCCCATGAGGTGAAAACCAAAGAGAACAAGACATTATCAAGGTAGCATTTTTGCCTAAAATGACTCATCTGAAACTGCTCATGAGGAAACAATCCAACGTGGCCTGAACTCACTCTTAATATCATATTGTGAAATAGTTTTAAAAAAGTTCTAACTCAAGGAGACTCCATCTCATGTACTCTGGACATGTTGTCAGGCAGTAGGTACTAGGCCCCGGAAAAAGATATTATGCTTGGTGAAGTACAGGTCAGAGAAAAAGCAGGAAGACCCTCAGTATGATGGATTGACAGAGTGGGTGCAACAATGGGCTCCTGCACAGTAAAGGCTGTGAGGATGGGGCAGGCCTGGGCAGTAATTTGTTCATTGTGCACAGGATCACTGTGAGATGGGACCAATAACACTTGAACTAACAACAAATAATTAAAAGGAGCCCTGGTGGCTTAACAGAGAAGCACTCAGCTGGTAACCAAAAGGTTGGCTGTTTGAACCCACCAGCCACTATGGGAATAAAAAAGATCTAGTGATCTGTTTTTTAACAATTTTAGCCTATGAAACACTCTGGGGCAGGTATGTACCTACAAGTACAGCTATGAATTAGAATCAACGTAAGGAGCTGCGCTGCCAACCCAAAAGAACTTGGTTCAACTCCACCAGATGTGGGAGAAGGACAATCTTCACCCAGTGCAATTTATTCCCTTCAAAAACCCACTGGAGGGTCAGTTAAAAATCAGTTTCGACTTGGCAAGCTCTGGTGGCCTAGTGGCAAAAAGCTGCACTGTAATCCCAGGGGTATGCGGTTCGAATCCACCAGATGCTCTGCTAGAGAAGGAGGGACAATCTCCTCCTGCACCAGTTAGATCTGATTTAATGATCTGATTTAAGGGTACACACACACACAAAATTAAATTAAAAAATAAATAAATAAATGAGTTTTGACTCAATGGCACAGGACAAGAAGTTGTACTTAGTTATACTAAATTAATTAAAAATAAAGTGTCACTATGTGCAATATAAAATATTTTTAAAGGTAAACAAACTAATATATAATACAAATTTTTTTTAAACGTGTCACTATGGCACTATGTCTAAAAGTAACTCTCGAATGGGCAAACAAATATAGTGAGCAGACAAATCAACAACTGGTGAAATCTGGATGATAGGCATAGGGGTGTTGGCTGTTAAAAGAATATTCTTGAAATGCTTCTAGACCCAAAGATTTTTTTTGTTTTTTTTCCAAAAGAAAAACTATGATTAATGTTTTAGTTATACAATAAAATGATGTCCTATATCATTTATAAAATGGATAGTCATAAACTTTTCTGTTAAATATTTTCACTGAATGAATTGTTAAAACTAGTTATTACAAAAAAATTAAAAAAAAAAAAAAAACAACACAAAAACCCAAACTAGTTATTACAAAACAAACAACACAAAGCAGTTATAACTAAAAAACATAGGGAAAATGTAATTTTCTCAGAATATAAAATTACTCTCAAGGAAAACAAACCATACCTAAAAAAACTATAGATTAGCAATTCATATCCTCTCAAGTAATATTAACTTACAGACGTGATGATTTTATATTATAGATAAACAGATAACTATCTGTATGAAAGGATTCTCCTTGTGTTCCCCGAGAATTTGCGGAGTCATCATTTCCCTTTAGTCCTGATAAAATACATCCAAAATATTATGATGGTGTGGAACAAAGACAGAGAACTAACACTATATAGAAGGATGCTCATTTTTTAAAAAAATAATTTCAAAATTTCTGCTAGCCCTCTTACCTGACTTCTTCACCAGCAAAATCAAACACCTTGGTGATCCTGACCTTTTCAGCTTCTGGAGGCCTTGTCAGATCCTCAAGTTTCACCAACTTATTTGAACTTGTTTCTGCAGCTTCCTCTTCTCTCTTAACTCGTG